TGCTGCAGGAAGCAAGACCCTTCCGGAGGGGAGCGGCCGGACAAGTTTCCATGACAACACTTGCCAGAGACCTTCAGGGGCTGAAAAATATTGAAGGGGGGGGTGGGAAGAGATGAACAAGTCCAGCCCCCTCCCACCATGCTTTTGGGGGCGTGGGGGGGGGGGTCAAACACCAGCCCAGGCGGGTGAAATTCTTGGTGTGTGGTCACCAGCCCTGGGCTGGAAGGGGGGGGGGGGTAACTCAGGGGTCAGAGGGATGGGGGGGCGGGGAAAAAAATCACACATGCCCCCCCACTGAGCTGGGCACGAGGCTCCCGGTCCCGCTGCAGCAGCAGAGGGGTTAGCACTTGGGGGCAGGCCCTGCCCCCCACTCACCACTGACGCGGGGGGGGTTGCTCCCCTGGGACCCCCAGCATGGACCCCCCAGGGCATGTGTGTAGGAATCCCCCCCCCTCCTGGCACTGACCCAGCCCGGGCTGCCCCAGTAACACCTGCTTTGAGCCCGGCAGACGCCCACACGGCCCCGGCTGCGGGGGGGGGGGGTGAGCACAGGGGCATTTCGGAAACTGCCTTAACCACCCCCTACCCCCAAGAGCTGCCCCCTTGCCCCTCAAGCCGGGGCCGAAGGACCCAAGAAGCCCCGAGGCAGAACAGAGCAATCCAGGGAAGCTTTTTATTTTCAAAATATTGTGCCCCCCCCCAAACACATCTTCAAACATATCAACATTCCCCCCTCCCCCTAAAGACAGAGAACCCCCCCGGACTCCCCTCCCCCGACACTGGAGAGGTGGGGGGGAGGGGCAGCTAAAGAAAGAAAAGGGGGAGGGGGTTTGGCAAATATTTAAGGCACCTGCTGCCCCTCCATTAGAGGAAATATGGTAACCGCTGCAGGACAGGAGCTGCCCACCAGGGGGCGCTGCGGAAAGAAGGCGGGTCTGACGGCTTAAAGGGGCAGAGACACCCCCAACCCCCCAGAGTCCTGGCTGGGGCAGGACGACCCCGCCCGGCCGCTACATGACCTCGTAGCCGCGCCGGATCCCCCTCATGAGGCAGCAGGCGAAGACGATGCCCAGGAGCTGTAAGAGGGGACGAGGAGTCAGGCGATCACGATGCCAACACCCCCCCGGCTTTAACCCCCCACCCGCCGGGCACTGCCCGGCCCTGCGACTTTTGCCCTCCAGCCCATTAGAGGGAGGGGCACCCCCAGCTCACCCCCCAAAGCTCCCCGATCGGCCCCTCAGGGTCCCAGCTCTGCGCCCAGGCCCAGCCGCGGGATCTAGGGAAATTGTCCAGCACCCTGGATTCCCCCACCCCACTCCCAGCACTGCCCCGCCCATCCGGGCTGCCCATGTCCGGACTCAGGAGCAGGGGCGGGGCATGCCGCGGGGCAGGACCAGGGCCAGGGGCGGGGCCAGGAGCAGAGGGGACCAGGGGCGGGGCCCTCAGTACCTCGAAGAAGGCGATGCCCAGCGCCACGGCCGCCACGATCACAATATGTTTCTTCAGCCAGGCCTCGATGCTCTCCGCACAGCCCTGCAGCGGGAGCCGATGAGGTAGCTCAGAGACCCAGCTGGGACAGTGCAAACCCCCCTTTCCCACCAACCCTACCCACACCCGAGCCCTGCCCATCCCCACCAGCTCCAGCTGGGACAGTGTGAACTCCCCCTTTCGCCCCAGCCCTGCCCACACAGCCCCCCAGCCCCAGGCTGGAACTCACTTGGACGTTGATGGTGTCAGCGGTGGGATTGACGTTGCAGGTGGACAGGGTGGCGTTCGCCTGGCAGCAGGATGTGGGGACGCTGTGGTTGCTTTTGAACGGTTCGTATTTGAACCAGTCTGTGTAGTTATGGGCTCCGCAGCAGGAATACTGTAAACAAGGAGAGAACCAGGGGTCAGAACAAGCAGGAGCTGTCTGGCCTCAGGGGCGTGAGGTCTAGTGGTTAGAGCAGGTGGCTGGGAGTCAGGACTCCTGGGTTCCCTCCCCAGCTGTGAGAGGGAAATTTGGTCCAGCATTTGGAACTAGGGCCTGCAACACCCCACCTGGTCCCCCAAATGAGGTCAAAGGTCACCCCCCCCCACTCACTTTCTTCTGCAGTTCGTTCATGGTCTCCGCTACCAGCTCGTCCTTGCTGTATTTCTTCATGGCATCCTCCAGGCCGCCCTGGAGCGCGGTGCGGACCTGGGGGGGGAGCAGGGGGGGGTCAGAGCAGCCACATGCGTTTCCAGAGGCAGCGCCCAGGGGAACAGGGCTGCCGGGGCCGAGCGCCCCCTTGTGGGCTCTCGCGTCACCCACAACCTCGGCTGGAGGGGCCCGGACCCAGGCTGAACCCCACTGGCGATCCCCAGGCAGCCCCAAGAGACGCCTGCGCCAGGGGAGCAGGACCCCCGCCCCCCCAATCGCGGGAGCCACACGGCAGCGAGGTGCCCACCTTGTCCTTGAAGATGTACCCGGCGATGGCAGCCGCGATCTCCACCAGGAAGATACAGGTGAGCAGGACGGCGAACTGTGGGAGAGAACGGGGTGAGCCGTGCCCCTCAGCCCTGACCCGCAGCCCCCCCGCCAGCCCCGCCCCGGGCTCCCTGCCCCCACATCCGAAACCCTTGTGATGCCCCTGAATCCTGCCCCCCCAGCTCCCCACCGGGCTCCCTGCCCCCCAGCCCTAAACCCTTGTGATGCCCCTCAGTCCTGCCCCGCTGGCCCCCCCGCCCCCCATCTCTGCCGCTGGCCGCGCCCCCTCACCGTGGTGACCATGCAGTAGTTCTCCTTTGAGGCCCCGCAGCAGCCGAAGAAGGAGACGAAGAAGATGACGACGCCCACCACGATGATGACGATGGGGGCGCCCGAGGCCGAAGGGCTACTCATGATCAGTGTCTTGTTGAGCTCGAGCTGCACTAAGACCCCGATGACGATGAGGGCAATGCCGCAGAGCTGGAGGGGAAACGGGGGCAGGTCAACCCCGCGCAGCGCCTGGTCAGTGCCCCTCCCCCACACTCACCCCTCCCAGCCCCCGGCTGGCCCTGGGCCCCATCAGAGCCAAGAACGTGCTGCCCACGTCCCCTCTGCTGGATAGCACCTGACCTGCTCAGCTGTGTGTCACAGCCCCGTACTGCTGGCAGCTGATGGGGATTCGCCTGTAGCCGGGGTGGCTTTTGGAACGAGGAGGAGGGGGGACGCGAGTGCCAGTCCTGCCATCCTCAGGGAGTTCCTCTATTTGCTACAAGAGCTTAAATGTCCCCCCAGGATCCCGAAGCACATGCCAGGCCATGCTTGAAATCCAGCGACCTCTGGGGCAGGGCATGGCGATCTCGCAGCAGCAGTGCTGGAGAAAGGAGTTCCCTCCCCATCCCACCAGGTCCTGCCCAGTATCCCCTCCTGGGGGAGGGGTTTGGATAGTTCGGGATACCACACACCCCCCAGCCAGGACATCAGGGTTCGCACCCCGAGCAGTGCCAGGGTGATGCCATGCAGACACCAGCCGCCCTGGCAGCATCTCAGACACCAGAATGGGGGGGGCAGAGACACCCCCACCCTAAAGACAATCTGGAGCAAGGGGAGGGGTGAGAACCCCCCCAATAAGGGGGAGATGTGCCAGGTAAGTCCCACCTGGCCCCAGAGAGCGACCCACACACAGACCCAGGCCCTGCGGCCTCCTTATCTCCTCATCCCATCTGGGGATCTCAAAGCACAAACTCTACTGAACTTCGCCTCCTCCACACTCCCATGTACACTACACTCCCCACGTGCTCTCCCCCCCCCACCAGCCTCCACCCCCTTCCCAAACAGCCCCGCCCGCCCTATTTACCTTTCCCTGCCCAAGGAACACAGACCCACAGGTGCGTGGATGCCACCCACTTGCCAGGGATCAAGGGGCAGAGAGTGCTGCCAGCCCCGGGAGGGGGCACGGGGCAGGGTCATTCCCTGGACACATTGGGGAGGGGGGGCTCACCAGGGGCAGAGGCTGGCAGGGACCAAGACGCGCTGGCCCCACTCAGGGGGGGCAGATAGGGTCCGTGGCCCCACTGCCGGGCAAGGGCGCCACTGCTCAGCCGCATCACAGGACCCTACCCCGCCCCCCGCCCCCGGTCCCACCCCACTGAGCGGGGGTGATTTGGTACCAGCAGGACAGAGCTGGGGGCACCAGACCCTGTGTGGCTGGGGAGTCAGCACCCCCCAGGTCCGAGTACTGTAACCCCATGGGAGCCCCCCCCCCGGGTATGTGTCCTGTGACTCTGGACCTCCCCTTTCTCCGTCAGCCCCCCGGGAGGGGGGGTTCCTTGTGCACAGGGGGGTCAGAATCGGCTGGAACCAGCAGGGGGAGGGGCACGGGAAAATGCCACATGGGCGAATAGGCCCCACCCCCGGGTGTGACCAGGCCTGGGGGTCCCCAACGGGGGAATAACGCCCCCCCCCTTAATCCTGCCCCTCCCTGTTCCCCCCCAAAGCCCAGCCGCCTTTCTCCCCCTCCAGCCCAGCTACATGGCGGGCGGCGGGGGGTGGGGGGGGTGTTATTAAAGCCAAGCAACTCTGGAGCCTGGGTTTCCGGCCTGGCCTGCTCGCAGGCGGGGTGTGAGTGTGTGTGTGTGTGCGTGAGTGTCTGTGTGTGTGTGCGCGCGTTGTGAGGCCTCGCAGGGGGCAGAGGATTCTGGCACCGGCTCTTCGGCTACAGGGCCCGATGCCAAACGCGACCCTCCCCCCCCCGCAGGGCCGGGCGGCTGCCACGTTAGCCCAGCCCTGGCTCAGCCCCCGCCCCCGTCAGCAGGACAAGCTCTTGGTGCGCAGCAGGGCCCAACCGGCCCTGCAACAAACCGCCTCCTGCTGCTGCCGGCGAGCTGCCCCAGGGGCAGGCCTGGCCCCCTCATCCCCACCTCCCCGGGGTGGGCTACGGGGGGAGGGGCGGGGAGCCAGGCCTCTGGGCTTCCCACCCTAGGAGGAGAGCAACATCCAGCGGTTAGAGCAGAGGTGGCTCAGGCCCCCGGGATCCGGTACCAACTCTGCCATAGTCAGGTCCCTTCCCCGTGCCTCAGTTTCCCCATCTGCCGAATGAGGCCGCTCCACCTTCTGGAGCCTTATTCCCTGGTGGTTTTTTTGGGGGGGGCGGGGGGCAGCACAGGGCGCCGGTCAGAGACCCCGAGCCGAAGCCCTTTCAGTGACGTTGCATCCGCCGGGATCCCCACCCCGGGAAAGCCCCATGTTCTCTGCTCAGGTGTGTTTATCTGCCGGGGAAGGTAAACAGAGCGGCCAGCTTGCCGGCCTGTGCAAACACCGGGGACACTCCCCTGAGCTACTCACCGAGGACGGGCTGGGCCGGGCACCACTGACGCTGCCCCACGTCCCTGCCGGGCCGAGGGGAGATACAGACACAGCCACTGGGGTTACAAGGGCCACTGCCCTGCCAGGCTCTCCTCATTCCCCCGGCTGCAGCCCACGCCCACCACTGAGCCCGACTGCGGGCACCTGGGCCATATCCCTGGCACCACGGGCGCTCCAGCACCACCCCGGGACTCCCCGGTGCCAACGGGTCGTCAGGGTCCCCTTGCCAACCTCTGTGGGACAGTGGCCAGGGCTGGGCACACGCCCCCTCCCCCGGGACCTCCCTGGCCGGGTGGGGCTGGGACAAGAGGCTCTGGCTTCTTCCCACCATTGAGCAAGTGAGACCCCCGTGAGAGCCGCTCCTCCCGCCTACGAGGGGTGACTCAGCCCCCCCCGTTCCCAGCAGGACGCGCCCTCCCCCTCCGGCCAGTTCCGTTGGGCAATCACTGCCCGATTACGATCGACACCCGGAGCCGTTAGGCGCTGCCCGGGTCTTTCCCCACCAGCCACTTCCCCCTGGGCACATGACGCCGGCTGCGATAGCATCTCCCTCGGGGCGGGGGCCCAGCACCGTGACAGGCCCCCTCCGCGCCCAGCTCCCGGGACCACGGCCCCCGAGGTCACTGGGTCATGGACAGGCCGTGGCAGCGTCAGCAGAGGTGTCAAGGGG